ACTAACTCTCAGATCTATACAGCCAGATGCCAGGGCTGAGGAAGCCATTTCAACTGTCTAGTGGTAAAGGTGATACCAGGACATGGAGCTCAGAATAAATATCTGTGTCTAAACTCACATGGCTCACGCCTATAATCCTACTGACTCAGAGGCTGATATCTAAAAGTCACATTTTAAATGCAGCCCAGGAAGAAAAGCCCATGAGACCTGACCACCAATTAACCACCAAAACCTGAAAGTGGTACTGTAGCTCAAGTGGTGGAGCACTGGTCTTGAGCACAAAACTCAGGAACAGCTTCTAGGCCCTTTGTTTAAGCCCCAGGACCAGCACACAAAAAAGGAAATTTTTAAATATTGTCTGTTATAGGGTGAATGAATAGGGTGGTAATAGTGGGCAAAGATACAAACCTTCTATTAAACTGAAGCAGAGTGTTGTTCACTACTGACCAGGATGGAAAAAGGTCAATGAATGGAGTTAGGGCATATTTGTAAACTATCCTGCCCTAAAACAGAATCCTGGTTTGAAGCCTTGATCCATAGTGTTTGAGCAGTTATTAAATTTATATAAGCTCTGAGTTAAGGAATACAGTGATTCCCTGATGAATTCATAACTTGATGGCATTACTGGGAGATGGAAAAAAGTTTCATAGGTAGGGCCTAGTTGGAAGTGGTTGGTTACTGTCTTAGGGGTTAGAATCTTTTCCCAGAGTCCTTTGTCTTACTCTTTTTATCCCAGATGTTATATGGTGAGGAGCTCTGCTTCACCACACCCATCAGGCTGTCCTTCAACACAGAAACCATGGAGCCAATCAGCCATAGACTGTAACTTCTGAAACCAAGCCCAGATAAATCGTGTAGATTGCTTCTCTGTGCTATGTGTCACAACAACTAAATAGTTATTAGTTATGGGTACAGAGTTAAAATTAGACAGGGGTAGGAAACTGCAGTGTCTCATGGCAACTATAAGTAACAAGTATGGACTGTGTATCTAGAGAAACAAAAGGGACTTTGTCCTTGGCCACTGAGCTGGCAGAAACTGAGCTGCAGCTGAGATCATCATCTTGTGTTGCCCGACCTGCTGCCCACATGGTGTTTAGGAAGCTCATCATTTGACAAGGAAATCCTCGGTAAAATTATCTTGGAGGATGAGCAGTGTCTTGTTGTGCCCAACATTTCCTGTCTAGCACTGAAACTTTCTGGCATTTTTATTGACATTTATATCATCATCCCCCACCCCACCCCAATACACATATACTGTAGATTTTTGCAGCAGCTGCTAATGAATGTCTTGTTGGACCTTTAGTTACTTCTAGGGAGGAAAGTACTCTTACCTGTGTCGGGAGACAGGGTTATAGTAGGGATTGAATGTACAATGTTGCATGCTTTTGTCCCTGTTTTAAAATTCAATAAAAAGAAGAGGCCCAAAAAGATTTGAAGTGTTACCTTCATGAAAGTGGTGAGGTGTAAAGTGTTGCATGCTTTTGTCCCTGTTTTAGAATTCAATAAAAAGAAGAGGCCCAAAGAGATTTGAAGTGTTACCTTCATAAAAGTGGTGAGGTGTACAGTGTTGCATGCTTTTGTCCCTGTTTTAGAATTCAATAAAAAGAAGAGGCCCAAAGAGATTTGAAGTGTTACCTTCATAAAAGTGGTGAGGTGTACAGTGTTGCATGCTTTTGTCCCTGTTTTAGAATTCAATAAAAAGAAGAGGCCCAAAGAGATTAGAAGTGTTACTCTCATAAAAGTGGTAAGGTGAAACACAGTTACTTAGCTCCATTATTCCATTCTACAGTGTATATGTACTCCAAAATAGCATGCTATACAACAAAAATACAGACAGTATTTGTGAATTTAATACATTTGAATAAAATTCAAAAAAGTGAAGCAAAGTATGTTTTCCTTCTTCAAAAATATTGGTGTAGCCAGGTGCTGGTGGCTCATGCCTGTAATCCTAACTACTTAGGAGGCTGAGATCTGAGGATTTCAGTCTGACACCAGCCTAAACATGAAAGTTCATGAGACTCTTATCTCCAATTAACCCCCCCTCCCAAAGTACAAAGTGGAGCTGTGGCTCAAGTGGTAGAATGCTAGCCTTGAGCATACAGCACCCAGATCCTGAGTTCAAGCCCCAGAACTGACACACAAAAAAAATATACTTGTGTGATATATTGGTGCCCTCCTCAAGTATAGTATCCCCAAAATATTTCCTTGTTCCATTTTCATAGGTGCAAATAACCAATTTAGACACTATCAAACCTCCCTTACCTTCCCCACCAGCACGACCATCTCCAACTAGTCCTTATCCACCTACTGGCTATTTCTCTCCCTATCTACACGTTTCCCTCATATGTACTTAAAATGTATTGCAAATAATTCACACTTATTCCTTTTCCATTCTTTTCTCTCCCCAGAGCAATCTCTTAGCTTCGTTGATAATATGTATTCCATAATCTAAGTGATTATGTATATTATATACTTGCACATTTTTTAAGAAAGAAGGAAAGAAAGAAAGAAAGAAGGGAAAGGGGAGAGGGAGGAACAAAGGAAGGGAGGAGCAAATGAAGGAGGGGAGGAAGGGAAGGAGGAAGGAAGTAATATTCTAGCTTAGGTGAAACCAACTTTATTCCAATTTTTGGGTACCAGGTCCGGAACTCAAGGCTTTACACTTCATAGCACATGATCTACCACTTGAGCCATGTAACTATCCCTGTTATCATCTGTTTCTACTACTTGAACAGACTAACAGGAACTGAGTAATTTATTAAAAACACAAATTTATTTTTGTTTTGAGGATGGAAATCACATGCATTTTTCCATTTCCTGTTATGCTATCTGTGATTGGATACTCATGAAGAAGTTTATTTTGCTTATTTTTCTGGAGGCTGGAAGTCCAAAGTCTGGTGGCCTCATTTGGTGGTTTGTTGTAAAAAGGCAGAAAAAAATTGTACCATTGGATGAATGCAAGGCAAAGTATGAGATGTGTCCTCACTTCATAACACTCTGCTCTCATGGCAACAAGTTTAGCACTGTGAAAATTAAGGCACACACAAGGCACTAATCTTTTTTACCTACTTAGTCACCTCTCAAAAGCCTCCTTCCCAATACTACCTAGGGCAAAAACGATCAAATTTCAACATGATTTTAGGATAAACTATGTTCAAATAAAATCTGGATATCTGAGAAAAGTCAGAACCTATTAGGGATTCAGAAAATTCAATTCCAAAAACTAAACAAACAAAAGTAACCAAATTAAAAATTGTCTCAGTACCTAAGTAGGCATTCCTCCAAAGATGACACACAAGGGTTGGATATGAGACTAACTTGGTAGAGAGCCAGCCAACTGAAAAAGCATCAGGTACTGAGTTCAAATCCTGGTCTCCCAACAACAAAAAGAAGACACACAAATGGCCAACAGGCATATGAAAAAATGCTTAAGGCCAGATGAGGAGGTTATTCCAACTACTTGGGAAACAGATCAAGAGGACTGTACTTTCAGGCCAGTCCAAGCAAAAAGCAAGACACCCATCTTAGTAAATAACCCAGATCTAGTGTCATGTACTTGTAACCTCGGCTACACAGAAGGCCACAGATGAAAAGGTTATTGTTTACAGTCAACCCTAAAATTAATCTGAAAGCACAAAAGGCTGGAGATAGAGTGCTTGCCTAGCAAGCTCTGAGGTCAAACCCCAGTACTATTTTAAAAAATGTTCACCATCATTAATCATTAATCATCATTAATCATCCAAAATTGGAGTACTCCCTGCACTGCTAGTGTGGGTATAAATTAGCTTAGCTACTGTGGAAAACAGTTTGAACCTTCCTCAAAACTAAGTTTATACCAGGTACCAGATGCTCACATGGGTAATTCGAGCTACTCGGGAAGCTGAGATCTGAGGACCATGGTTCAAAACCAGCTCTGGCAGAAAAGTCCATGAGACCCTTGTCTCTAATAAACTACTCAGAAAATGGTGGAAGTGGGGGTCAAGTGGTAGAGCGCTAGCCCTGAGCATAAAGAGGCTTAGGGATAGAGATTAGGCCATGAGTTCAAGCCCCAGGATTGGCAAAAAAAAATTGCAAATACACACAAGCCATTTCTGACTTCCTAGGACGGGAAACGAAAAATGAAAGTACCATTACTAAGTAGGATGAATGAGTTTGGTGACAAACTAGCAATTCTAAATGCTAGATAAACCACACTCCTCATAGACCTTAAACCCATTGTGGGCATTAGTGATACAGTGATTGCTCCACTCTGGAAAGCTAGTCTTGGTGACGAAAGACCTTCTGTCAATGCCCTTACCTCAAAGGTGATGGTAAACAACCATCTGAGAGTGGGTCTATGAATTGAGAACAGGAACCAAAAAACAAGAAATGCTCATGGCTGAGGGCCACATGGGACACTCAGACAAACCCTCTGTGTAAGAGACAGGTGAAAGGTGGTCCAGGAGTGGGAGAAGGTCCGATGTGCCCCACAGAGAAGTTTAAGACACAGACAGAGATGGCAGCAGTGACAGGCATGTTGGGGGTTAGAAGTCACACCCTTCCTGACAGGGCAGGAGAACCAGGGAGGAAAGGAGAGACTAGAGCTCTGGAAGGGGCTCATTAGGCTCCTGTGCAAACAGGGAATAAGATGGAAGATTCCCAGAGAAGGAAGGCAAGGGTAGGGAGAAGGCCTATGGGAAGATTGAGGAAATGTAAGTTTAACCAGGCCAAGTACATCCAGAACCCAGACTGAGGGAACCAAGGTAACCCTGAGTGCAGGGCTCCACTCAGGGTTAGACCTAGACTGCACTCATAAAGAGGGCTCATCCTATTATGCCATGGCACGCCTCTTTCACTTCACTTTTTTGAGACAGGACACCCCCTCCCCCACTCTTCTCTTGTTCATATGACCCCAAACTGGGAGGGGCGATGGGGGGAAGAGGTAGAGAGGAGAGAGGGGAGAGAGAGAGAGAGAGAGAGAGAGAGAGAGAGAGAGAGAGAGAGAGAGACTGGAGACCAAAAAACACAAAAAAATTTAATTTGGAACTTCTGTCAGCTAGGGTGAGCAGGGAACAAAAGATGGGGTTGAGAGGAGGAAATGGCTGCAGATGACCCTGATTAAACCAGCTGTATCACAATTCCTGGGCTCCACAGCACTGGCCACTTGTCTTGATTGAAGATGCTGGGTTCATACTATCAAGGAAAGCAGAGTCAGGATGAGCCAGAAATGTGTTTCAACAACCAGGGTTATGTGAAAGGTTAAGGTTAAATAAGCACTTACCTCCAAAAGACTGGAACTTCTCATTGAGGAACTGAATAGCCGCTGAAACAGAGAAGCCTAAGTGGGTACTCCAGACAAAGGGATGCAGGAATCCATCCTGCCTCCCCAATGCAACCAGAAAACTAGCAGTCCTGCAAATTGACGTCTGTGTTCAAATGCTCTAGTTCTGACCTACACCCACTCATCACCAGAACTGAGTGTAAAAATATCCCTCACACCACAGAAACCTGAACCAGTAGTTAGCAAGGGTGGAGCATGGCCATCAAGACATCTTAAAAACAATAAACAAGTCAGGGCACTGGTGGCTCACGCCTGTAATTCTAGCTACTCAGAAAGCTGAGATTTGCTGATCATGGTTCAAATCCAACCCTGGCAGGAAGGTCCATAAAATTCTTATCTCCAATAAACTACCAAAAAAACAGCTGAAAGTGGAGGTGTACCTTAAGTGGTAGAGTGCTAGCCTTGAGCAAAATAAGCTTAGGGACAGCATCCAGGCTCCGAGTTCAAGCTCAAGGACTGACATACAAAAAAAAGGGAGAAGGAATACCAAACAAGCAACACCAACTAGCACTTATAGGGGAAAATAAAGGAGGCATCTCTGAAGGTGCTGAAAGAATATCTCTGGGATTTGTTAGCAGGGCACATGCTGCGATTCTTTGCTCATGTACCAGCTAGTCACCACACAGAAGGTTCCAGGCAGGTCTGGTTGTTGTTTTGTTTTGTTTTTAATCCAAGGGGAATATTGGTCCTACCTGTAAGTGCAGCCAGCCCTGCCATAGATAACTGCTCCCATATACCCAGCTGTCTTTCTGTTCCAGCCCCTGCCTCTGTCCCTATTCCATCATACCTAGTTGATCCTTGAGCTTCTCTATTTCCTTCTGTAGCACCGGACACTAGGCCAGCAGACCCAAGAGAAAAAGAAATGATGATTAATGTGCTGTCCTCTGTCCTAATCCTCCCACCTGCCCTAGGCCTTACAACTTCCATGACCCACAGCTGTGTAGAAAGAATCACAAAAAAGCCTCAATGGAAAGGAGATACCTTCTCTCCATTGGGGTGCTTGATGGGGAAGAGTGTGTATTTCAGCTTAACCTGGACACTGAGCCTACCATCTATATGGGCCAGGACTCTAGGGATGAAAGGAAACATTACCCGTGGACAGCCTTGTTCTCCAGATGGTTGTTGTGACATTTCCGGACCTGTGGCATGTGTGAGTGGTTCCTGGTCACCTAAAAAGAACACAAAAATCCAGCCTCTTAAGAGTGAGAGATGAAAAGGATCTCATGGACTCTAAAATGGGGGCAACACCCCCCCTATGGCATCAACTTCACCCTTCCCTGGATCTGCCTTCCCTGGCCCTCAAATATCCTGTTACTGGATATAATATCCTAGTACTGTGGCTCTGTGGTTGATGTTAGAAAAGGCTCCCTTGTGCTGAAAGTCAGCTTCTGGACTGGAATTTGGGCACTGTTACTAATCACTGCATAAACCCCACCTACAGGGCACATTGCTGCTTGAGTTCAGCCCTGTCCATGTTCTCTTTCCTGTAGGAGCACGGTCTAGGTAGTCAGGGTAGCCTGGAAACAATGCTGAGTCCCCTTTTCCCTCTAGAAGTAATAGAAGTAGACATTTCCTTCCTCCTCACTCCATTTCTTCCACTGTTTTCAAAACCACAATACTCACCAGAAGGTGCAAAGCCTCTGATACTCCTCTGTCTCTGGGGTAAGGGCTGTGATATTTGTGAAATATATGGGGCTCTGGTGTGGGCATCGCCACTGCTGAGTTCTCCACGATGCAACAAGTAAGGTGGTCCTGGCCTGTATGTAGAAAGCTAAAACAAAAATTTCTCACTGAATATTTATTTATATGGGTTGAGGTCTGGGAGGGAAAACAGAGGGAACTGTAACATTGCAATCTCTTAGCTTCGTTGATAATATGTATTCCATAATCTAAGTGATTATGTATATTATATACTTGCACATTTTTTAAGAAAGAAGGAAAGAAAGAAAGAAGGGAAAGGGGAGAGGGAGGAACAAAGGAAGGGAGGAGCAAATGAAGGAGGGGAGGAAGGGAAGGAGGAAGGAAGTAATATTCTAGCAGTTATTTCCTCTCTATTTTTAAGTTATTGTATATTTCTCTTTTGGGCAATGTCATCCCTTCCTTCACTTTCCCCAGTTTACCTCCTGTTCCTGCCCACAAGTTTCACAGTTCATTTTCCATGACTGAATTTGTTCGCCCTTCCTCCCTCCCTTTCTGTGTCACTTCTCCCCCAAAAAGCAGAAAAAGAAAAAGGAAAAAAAATCACATACAAATTTTTCTATTTTTTAGACCTGAATTATGTATAACTTTTTGGAAAATTTAATCTGATATCAAAATAGTCACTGAAATACGATTCTGTTGTAAAGTTGTACTGAAAGTTATAGAGATTATATTGCAATGTTGGGACTAGGAGTGAGACATTTACCATTTGGCATCCAAGTTTAATGGTATCCAACTTTAATGGTAATTCACAGTGATTCTGCCTGTGGGAACATATAGATCCTTGACCAATTTGGGCCATTGCCACTCAAAAGTTCATGACCACAAATGTAGAGTTTCCTCTGAGGATCAAAGCCTGAAAATAGAATTGTTTGTGGCAGAAAACTTGGTTGTGATACCATGAATAGGTCCCATGCTCCTGTACGATGTGACTTAAACCCCCTTTCCTACAGCAATATGATACTGATTTGCAACTTGTGAAATCAGAGGGATCTCTTTTCCTTATTACCACTTAGATAAAAGAAGAAAAGAAAAATAAAAAACCGTGTGTCTTAAAATTTTTTTTTCTTTTTAGCATTCTTTTTGTTTTTTTTATCACCCTATATAATTGGACATGGGGTGTTTCATTCTGAAATTTCCATACATGTATTAAGATATTTCAGTCATATTAATCTACCTCCTATTACCTTATCTTGCTTCTGTTTTAAAATCCATTTCAAATCTCTTAAGAATTTTTCTAAATAAGTTTCATTATGATGTTTTTCATTCATACCTACAGTATATTTTAATCATAGTATTCTACTACCACCTGGCTCTATTTTACCCTTCCTCCCTCAGACCATTACCTCCCATTTATGGTCATGCCCATTGTCTTCCCTTAGATCTAGCTTCTTCACATTAGAGAAATTATTCAGTATGTGTGTTTCTGAGTCTAGACTAAGTCACTTAATACGATGGTGTGTATGCATTTCTGTCCATTGAGAGAGGCTCATTTCATCAGCTCTTTCTGCCTCTGTTAGCTTCAGGTCAGGAGGCAGAGCTGACTAAGAAGAAACCTGGGGTACCAAAAATCCCAAACCAGGCACCAGTGGCTCACACCTTTAATTCTAGCTACTCAAGAGACTAAAATTTGAGGATCAGAGTTCAAAGACAAGAAAGACCCTGATACTCTTACCTCCAATTAACCACTAAAAAGCCAGAAGTGGAGGTGTGGCTCAAGTGGTAGGGTGCTAGCCTTGAGCACAAAAACTGAGGGATAGTGCCCAAGCCCTAAGTTCAGCCCCAGGACCAGCGCGCACACATGTGCGCACGCGCGCACACATGTGCGCGCGCGCACACACACACACACACACACAAAAAAAAATAATCCCAGGTTTGCAGAATCACTGGGAGGGGAAAATCAGTTGAAACAATGAAGCTGCACAGCCCAGACTGTAAGCAATCTTCAGGCTCAACTCAGCGCCCAGCCCTGCCTCCATCCTCACCCCAGTCCGGAGAGGCAGAAAATACCCAGAACATGCCAAACCCTGAGTTGTGTCTACCAAATTCTCTCTTAATATTCACCCTTACTACAAAGATCTGATTTTGGCAACCTAATGACAGTGGGTTTCCAGTGACACACCCTGAACAAGAGGCAGAGGGAACATGGACAAAGACAATGTGTATTAACAGAAGTAGATGCAACGAAGATGGTTTACTCACCTGGGCTTGAAGGACAGGATCTCTATTTAACTCATAATCTTCTCTGGCCACAGTCTGAGTCTCCCTTCTTCTCCAAGTCCTAGATCTCCTCAAAGTGCCATCTTGATTGGACTGCTTCGGTCCAGGACTCAGAGATGAAGATGACTTGGAATTCCGAAACACAGGAACACATGAGATTGGAGGTAAGGAAGCTGCTTCCTGGTGAGGTGCCTTGATCCTTTGCCCCCAAGGAGGGAAGATTCTTCCCAACATAACACTAGAGTCACTTTCTGGGAATTTCTTCTCATGAGTCATCTTCTTTCTAGGATTTCTCCTCGACAAGTCACCTGCAGCAGCAGCCACTGTATAGGTGGGTCTGTTTCCTCCCTTAGCCCTGACCACAGTTGTTTTTTTCTTATGGGAAGAGGCTTCTTGCTCTCCAGCAGCCTGGTTTTCCCTGTTTGTCCTTAATTCCTGAGAAGTGAGTGGCATCCTACTAGGTATAGCATCAGAATTCTCCTGGTCCTGATCATCAGAGTTTCCAGCTCTGTCTTCTGATTCCTTGGGGTTGTCTAACTTGGTCTGATCTCCATGTTTCAAGCTAATGGTCACCCTCATTGGTGCTATCTCACTGGATTCTTCTGAAGTCTTAGTGTCAGAGGAGGGTGACTCGGTTCTCTGACTGATCATTTTTCTAACTGCACAGCCTCTCTTCTCCCAAGCCCTGCCTAGCTCAGGTGTACTTGAGTGTAGGGAGGTGGTAGAGGCCTGCTGTGCTCCCACATGACTGGCGGCCAGTGTACCTCGCCCACTAGTGAGAAGCATGACTCTCCCGCCAGAAACCAGTGTACCTCTTCCCCGCAGCGAGCCTCTCCCACTGGGGACCAGCGTGCCTCTACCACTGGAGACCTGTGGGTCTCTCCCCGTGGGGCCTGATGCTACTTCTGCCCAAGTAGTGGCTAGGGTGGTTGTGCATCTTTCCCGTGCTAGGAATCTGAGCATGCCTCGGGCCACCTGATAGGTAGGGTGCTGCACGACTGTCTTCTCAACATTGAAGTCCGGTACTGAGGACTGAGCACCCCCTTTACCTTCCACTGAGGAACCAGATTCTTCTCCACCCTGCAAGACAGCTCCTCCCTCCTCTATCACTTCTAACTCAGAATCTGAACTGAACTCGCAGACTTGGGACCTTGTAAGGTCTTCCTCTTCCTCATCTTTCCGTGGAGGAACAGGGTCAAAGACGAGGCTAGGCGCCATGGGTCCTCCATGGACAACCCTATAGACACCAGAGCGTTCCCCACCCTCTGCGCCAAAACCACTTCCCTGAGTGGATGCCTCACGGCTAGAGCTCATGTCTCCAGTGTCCAGCTTTGCTGAAGCCGTCGGCCTGGTCACCACAGGGTGAGCACAGCATATGCCGGGGCTTTTACCACACGCACCGCAAGCATCTGCGCCAAACAACGTGAGGCTTTCGTGCTCACGAGAACACTACACAGCCTTTTCATTGGCCTGTCTTCCACCAATCAGGTCACGTTTGTTGTCATGTCACTCAAGGCCCTAGCCAATAGGAATGACACTACATACCTTTGTGGTCAACCCCCAGGTGGGCAGTGGGTAGGGGGCGGAGCCTGGTAGGAGAGGGCGTGTCCTCCTTTTCCCGCTTCTTTTGTCTGCCTAGCTTAGAATAAGAGCCCCATCCCGAACAACGTCACCTCGCTCAGTGTCTTTCAAGTAATGGTGGATGTGGAGGCCCAGCTCAGAAAGGAATTTTGACATCCCACTGGCAGAAAACACCAATATAGCGCCATCATCATGGGCACACAGCCACAGTGTGTAGTAACAGCGTTAGTGGTAAAGCCCCATTGCACTCAAATCGTAATGGGTTTTTCTGTTGTTGTTTTTTTTCTGAAGAAGTATGAGGATCAAGTCAGGTGCTAGTATCTCAAGCTTATAATCCTAGCTATTCAGGAAGCTAAGTTATGAGGATCATGGTTCACAACAAGCCCATGTAGAACAGTCCAAGGAGTTCTTATCTCTTAATTAACTGGCAAGAAAAACAACTGCAAGCTGCTTTGAGTGGTGGAGTACCCGCTTTGAATGAAAAAGCCAAATGAAAGGGAAAACCAAGTGAGAGTGTGAGGCTCTGATTCAAGCCCAAGTACCAACATACCAGCACACACATATGTATGAGGATTAGTCATAGACTGTTGGCTTCCTGGCTTTTCTATATCAGTTTGATGTATTTCTGTGAATCAAGCTTGAAGCCCCTTTCACAGACCTGGTGACTGTCTCCCTCTGAACTGTCTCCCTCTGAACACACAGTCTGGTCTCTGCTCATATTCAAATTCAACCAGCACAATACTATTGTAGCATGCACACTAAAGGCATACGAGCCTGAGCCTTCAATCTCTAGGGAAGTAAGGAGCAGGTTCTGAGGTTCAGGTAAGAGAAGCCCATCTGGGCCCCATTGGAGAGGAGGAAGTTTACACTTTCTTTCTGTGTCTGTGTCTTTTTATCCTTCAAGCTCCATACACATCCAAAACAAATTGCACTACCCTATCTCGTGCCACTCCACTCACAGTGAGCTCAGAGTGAGGTTGTCTGGTCTGTTTGCCTACCTTTAGACAGAGGCACTATAGAACACCAAGCAAAGTCCCACCTGGACCAGGTGTCAGGGCTCCTTGCACTTTTATTTCCCAACATGACCCTTTACTTTGCTGAAAGAAAAAATGGTTCCTGGGACTCCTGTTAGGGAAAAAGAAACCAAGGACCAGCAAGCTAGCCAGCACCCATGAGCAAAGTGGGCTCTCCCAGGCTGCAGAGAATCCTGTTAGAGTGCTGTCCTCTCCCTAGGGGTTGTAAAGTGCCACTCACAGTAGGAAATTCTCATGGTAAGTGACATTCACAGATTCCAGTCTTGTACATCTCAAATTCTTAGATGACATTGGGCTTCAGGCTTATCAGTCCTTAATCTTCAAGAACTCTTTCTCCCATCCACATTTCATCATTATTCATTTCCTTTAAGGGGAAATAAACTCTTCTCTTTGTGGGTAGAGGGGTCTGTCTTTATATATTGTGACCTTCAGGGTAAATACACAAATCATCTTTGTTTTGTTCCCAGGTGCCATCTTCTTATGTCCCAGTGTGAATGGCCACCTGTGGTTGTGTAGGGTGAATGTCCCAGTAACCACCCTTCAGAATAAGAAACTTAAAATTGGCAACCTGGGGTCACTGACATTTCTTCCTCTCTCCAGATACTACCCCTCTCTTATGCCTCCAGGGGTCACCTGGGTTTTAGAGCTCCCCTAGCTCAAAGACTCACTTCCACTTAAAAAATTATTACTGTTTAATTAATAATCCTTCCCATGTATAAAAATTAACTATGTCAAGTTAAATGTAGAATCACCAGTACCAGGAGCACATACTTTCAATTTGGTAGATAGGTATAAAACAATCAAGCCAGGTAAACATGTCCCTGGTCCAGAGGCTGTCTGAATGTCCATTGTACCTTTAGAAATCCCATATGAGTTTCTGAGAAGGAAGCCAATAACAAAAGTCTACATACTCTATGACTGCAGCCATGTGACTTGGAAAACACCAGAGTATGAAGGAGAAACACTAATCAGGGATTGCCAGCTCTTGAGGATTTAGCAAATTGGTTTCCAATCAGAAGACATTAAGAATTTGGAGGATGATGTAAATGCTGTATAATTTTATTAACATGGTATGTCCATTAAAATGTGTTTATAAAACTATTCCTGTAAGTTAATTGTATGTCTACAATTCTGACTCCCTTAGGAATAATCTGTAACCAATCCATATTTAAATTTTCTAATTACCTTTTTAAAATATGAAGATGATGTTTTCTTCCTCTGCTGTGTTCATATGGCAAAGTATTTTACTGTATTTTCTGACATTAATCAAGTTTGTATTCCTAGAATGAATCCCTTTTATTCATGGCATCTCAGGTACTTTCCTTAATGTATCCTATCCTGTAGAAAATCAGTTCATCAACAGCCTTTCTGGTGTTGTTTCTTTTTTCTATATCATTAGAGTGTAATGTTACTGTCCCTTCTTTTCCTTCAGGAATTTCTGTCAAACTGAAAAAAATGTATCCCTAGATTATTTTTAAAACATTTTGCCAGTCCTGGGGCTTGAACTAAGGGCCTGGGCACTGTCTCTGAGCTTCTTTTGCTCAAGGCTAGCACTCTACCACTTGAGCCACAGCACCACGTCTGGCTTTTTCTGTATATGTGGTACTGAGGAATCAAACCCAGGGCTTCATGCATGCAAGGCAAGCAATCTATCACTAAGCCACATTCCCAGCCCTGTTTTTAAGAATTTGATAGGGAATATTCTGGAGTGTGTTTTTTGTTTTGTTTCTAATAGTTGCCTCATAGAGATCGCTCATGGTAATGTAAGGATGCAGGACTGCCAATCCTTCTTGTATATGTTTTCTAGAAATTGATGACCTTTTATTACCTCTTCAAGTTGGTTAAAATAAAATGGTTGAGGCTCAGAATGCTTGTTACTGCAGTGCCCACCACCTCTGGCGCCAAGGAGGTGGTGGTAGCAATGTGTATGGCCTCACTTTGAGGAGCAGCCCAGGCAGCCTGATGGCCTATAAGCTGCAAGGGCCCAGTCCAGGCCTCGTTTGTGCCTTGGGGGTGGAGGGGCCCAGGTGGATGTGAAAGAGTCCCACCCAAACCCAGGGAAGATGAGGCATCACGTGACTCCTGCCCTCCCACCCCCTTCTCCATCTCCCCCCGACACACCACCACTGGTCCTGCATCTGCCTCCTCCTGCCTGGGCCCCAGCCCCTGCCAGAGAAGCAGCTCAGTGCAGCATGGCATGTGCACCCCACATGGCCAGACATAGCTGCAGGGCACTGCCAAAGCCTCACTGTAGTGGGGCAGCTGGTGGCAGCAGCTGGGCAGTACAGATTGTCCAGCTGAATGGGATGGGGTGGGGGGGATCAGATTTAGCACTTCAGTGCACTCTTTTAAATTGTTATTGTAAAGAAGATGTACAGAGGAGTTACTGTTACAGTTAAGTCAGGTGAAGACTTCCTTCCTTCCTTCTTTGCTTCCTTCCTTCGTTGCTTCCTTCCTTCCTTCGTTCATTCCTTCCTTCCTTCCCTCCCTCTCTCTCTTTCTTTTTTGCCAGTCCTGGGGCTTGAACTCCAGGCCTGTGTGCCATCCATGAGCTTCTTTGGCTCAAAGGCTAGTGCTCTACCACTTGAGCCACAGCACCACTTTTGGCTTTTTAAAATAATTTATTGGAGAAAAATGTCTCACCAACTTTCCTTCCCCGGCTGGCTGCCAGCTGTGATCTTCACATCTCAGCCTCCTGAATAGCTAGGATTATAGGCATGATCTACCCATGCCCAGCCAACAGTAAATTTCTTTTTGGACAATGTTACCACTTCCATCAAGCTCTCCCAGTTTTTCCCTCCTGTCCCTACCCACAAGTTGTATAGTTCATTTTCAACAGTGTCTAGTGAGTACCACCACTGCATTTGTTCATCCTTTGTGCCTCCATTTCTGTGCCACCCTTAAAAGACAGATAAATGAACAAACAAGACAAAAAGAAAAGCCATAACAAAGAAAAATCCCTCTTGTGTCCATTTTCTGAAGTTCATTTTGATAAATACTATTTTATATGATCAGAGGCATGGAGGCATGCACCTCTGTGTTCCTCCCTAAGAATGTTCTCCTTTGGTCTTACTGTGTGTGAATGCCTAGATTCTTATAAAATTTATCTTGTACTTTAAATCTAACTTCTGCATATGAGAGAAAAAATGTGCTGTTTGTCTGTCTGAGGTTGGCTTACCTCATTTAACATGTTTTGTTCTAGGTCCATCCATTTCCCTGCAAATGACATAATCTTATTCTTTCTCATGGCTGTGTAAAATTCCATTGTGTATAGGTACCACATTTTTTTGGATCCACTCAGCTATTGTAGAGTATCTGGGCTGTTAAGACAGATCCTTGTGTGGACTCTATAGCCTTTTCCCCAGCTTTCTGACTGGAAGAATTTAAACACTTCAAGATAAAATTATTGTTATGTTTATTGATAGAGATCCAGCAGCATTTGCACCCTTTTAAATTTTATTTGGACAAAAGAACTTAAGGGGAGCAAATGTAAATGTTCTCAGATATGAAGCAGAATATTATGGAAACGCCCCTTTAGTAAGAAGTTTTCTGAAGTGGTGCTGTGGCTCAAGTGGTAGAGCGCTCTCCTTGAGCTGAGGGACA